GAGTTACCCACTTGGCCAGCGCCTCTTCTGGACGCTGCCACCATCAAAGCATCATCGGAGCCGTCATATACGTCGACGACCCCCAAACATCTGCCGATTGCTTTGGTACCCTGGCAGCCCTTGCGGGCGCCCCGGGTCCTGACAGAGGTGGGAACATGACTCACCAATGCTCTGTCGGACTGCGCAGGGCGGCTGGCACCGATTGCCTTGCCTCGCCAGTCGATCCTGGGCTCGTGCTTCTCAAGCCAGGGCATGCCCAAGATCATATCATATGGATCCATATCGAGAACAGTGAACAGTTCGAGGCTGTCAAAGTCTTCAGACTTGACAGCCAGATCCACTTGGACGTTGGGGACAGTGACGACCTTATCGTCGGCCAGTCGCACTGACACCGTTCCGTTGTCCTTGCTTTCTCTCAAAGCATCGGACAACTTGTTGCTGTTACGAGCAACCGTCTGGCGGCGTGCGAAATTCTTCGACGCCCCAGAATCGATCAAGATTTTAAAGGGATGATCGTATCCCCGTACACATCCGTGTACTACGAGCAATCCGCCGCTGCTCTTCGCCGATTCGAGAGTGCGAAAACTCTCAGGGGCTAAGTTCCCGTGGTACGCGCCACCCGCGCACCCATCAGGAAGACTTAGTTCTTCCCCAGTAGGGCGCCCCGCTCCTACTGATTCCCGGCGTTCCCCTGTCCCCGGGATCCTGGCTCCTGCCAGCGACCCTTAAGGACGGGCTTGGGGAAGGACCGTCTGCGGAGCCTTTCCGCGGGACTGTCGCGCTTGAAGTGACCCATCTTCCCGCAGCCGAAGCAGCGGATATCACGCTATTCGGCGGACCCGAGTTCCATGGGAACTGGTCCGTTAGGGCTTGCTCGACCGGGGGCCGACAAGGAACTCCCAGGCCACGCTGAGGCCGGCGTACACGCCTGGCGATGGTTGTACGCTTCTTGAAGAGCCACTTGAATCGCCTCTTCAAGGGTGCTTGACTACAACCGGAACAGCTGAGTGCGTGCGGGGCCCACTCGAAGGCCGTCCATGAACACAGCCATCTTGATGTGTTCGTTGAGTGGGTTTCCCACTAGGGACGACATGAACTCCCGTATCTCTTGCACGTACTCGTGCACTTCACGCCTCCCTTGTTTACACGAGAGGAAGCGCGAACGCTGGCGGTACTCGAAGATCGCCGGGAGGAACGCGGCTCGGAGCTGTTCACACAGCTGATCCCAGGATGTGAAACATCCAGGGGATGTTGCTTCCCGTGTGTACACCCAACTCTTAGCACGGCCGCTAAGGTTGGAGAGTGCAAAAGCAACACGAAGTTGCTCGGTCGAGATCAGAGCCGCGTTCATCGCGAGATCTACTTCTCGGACCCAGAACTAAAGGTTCTCGCCTTCCTTCCCTTCATACGGCTTAACCTTCAGCAGTATTGGCTTCGGGTGAGACGGATTCGCTTACGCCGCCGGAGCCTGCAGGCTCTCCCGCACATGCGCGATGAGCCTCTGCTCGTACGCGTCAAACGCATAGACGCCTTCGAACTGCTCAGCCGGTGTTGACACCACCAGGCTCTGCAGGGTTTCCATCCCGAAGATGCCTGCCATCTTCCAAACCGACTTGAACTGAGAGTCGTTCATATGGGAGAAGTCGTTCCTATCCATGGCAACGAACTTCGAAGAGGTTCAGGTAGTCTACCCGCGGTGGCGTGGATTGACTACGAGTGCTACCAAGTGTGACGGGGTCACACAGCACCTTGCGCTAGAGGAAGTTATCTTTCGAGAGTATACAAACGCTCAGTGAACGGCAGTTCACAGGTCCCCTCTTTATTCAAAAGAGAGCGAAGTGACCTAATTATAAACTGAGTATATTTATAGGTAGATAAAGCTTGGGTTTAATACAAACTATAAGCCACCTATAGAAATGCAATGTCGTTAACCAATGGTTGGCTTTGAACGACCTTGATACTTTGTACAAATATCCCGAAGTATGACGTGTCACACTTCATGTAACCAGGGTACACTTAGGGCTACGTATTCCGTTACAGATACACCTACCTCTTGCAAAATCAATTCAATGTACTGGATGGATCACATGTACTTGACAACTTCTTCTTTAAGTCCAGTGAAGACCGTGAATCATTTGGAAAAGTGACCGTTGAATGCGGTGTGGAATACTGCATTGCAGCTAAATCTACGATAATCGATTGTATAGATTATGCATGATGATTCACAATCTTTGGTTCCGCAACAACCAAAACGTGTGCAATCTCGCTGGATTCTTTGCTCGTCAACCTCATTCTGATTGGTACTTGATGCGCAAGACATATCTATGTGTAATCAAACAACAAGTAATGCGTTTCAACAAGGAGTGGGCTACTAAAGATTTCGATGATTGGTTTGGTTCCAAGTATAATCCATCACTGAACGAAGACAAATTGATAGGGGTTGCTGCTGGTTGTAATTCTGCTGCATACAAGCAATGGAAAGATGAATATGAAATCAAAGAGCCAAGGAAAACTTCCACTTCGAAGACGTTTGAGCTTTCCACACCTGATCATGATTTCGAATTGACATTCAAATCTGAGCGGAAGTTGGCAACACTAACTCAACTGGTGAAATTAACTGGCCGAACAATTGACGACATGCGTTCAGCCATGGTTGATACATCATTTAAGATCGATGAGCTTGAATATTGGGCGGAGAAGTATCTAGTGATCGAGAACAAGACCAACCGTGACTTTAATTTAAATTTCAGTACTTTCGAGAAGATGTTGAAAACTACCAGCTTCGAGTCTCTTCATGTGCTAAAACGATTTGTACTCTACTTCATTCACGGGCTATACGTCTTTGAAGGAACCGATATCACCTACTACAAGCGTAAGCCAACGGAGGACGATAATTTTGTGATCAAGGCATATGATCCAAAGAACTTCTTCAAGGTGCAAATTCAGCTCATTAAAATCAAGAAGCCACGTTCCATCAAGCTGTCGGACCTTCTCAATACGGCTCCATTCCACAAGTTTGCAAATACTGTCTGCAAATGGGAACATGATCCAAATGACATGGAGACATTCAGCTTAACAAATCCACTACTGGCGAAGGATTTGCACGAAGAAATTACCGAATCTGACTTGCACCCAGTGTTAATTGATTACCTGAAGCGTATCATTTGCTTCGATCATCCTGAGAGGTACCAGTGGTTGATGGAGTATATTGGTAGTCTTTGTCCTATCCAGACAACAAGACGAAGGTTATGCTCGTGTTATATTCAATGGAGAAGCAAATTGGGAAGTCCAATTTCTTCAAGCTCCTTACTAGTCGTCTGGGAACAGCAAATACTCACATGACTCAGCATCTTAATGTCTTTGGCGAGCGG